GTAGCTACAGCTTTACTTCTGACCTCTGTGAATCTTGTCATCTCTGGGAGAGGACACCTCACCTTGAAGTTTTAAAAATCTTTGTCCCAGACTGGGTTCAAAACCTTAACTTCCTCTGCCTTAGTTTTCTCGTTTGTAAAATGGGAATAATAATACCAACCTTATGGGGTAATTGTGCGGATTAATTGAGCTAATGCATGAGTGTTTAAATAGTAACTGGTGCACAGTCAGGGCTCGGTGGATATTAGCTGTTAGTATGGTAACCATTGTTCACAGAAACAGAGGTGGTGCTATAGTTTATAGACTAAACTTCTTGACCCAGCCCCTCTATCTGGAAGGCTCAGCAACCTCCCGATCGCCAGATTGATTTGGTGACTGACGCTCAGGTAAGTGACCCTGCAAGAGGGTGGCTCAAGGGCCAGAACTCTGACCTCGGATTAGATGCACCCACTGCCCACTTCTTGAAGACTGTCTCCAAGCGTCAGGGCCTCCTAGACACGCGAGGATGGAAGGAACAGCAGGACTCAGCCACCACAGTCCCCCAGTTGGGGAATCCATGCTTGACAGACCATGCTCAAGCCTGTACTTGCATTTTTTCAGATGTGGGGCACTTGCTACCTCCATTTCCAAACAGCATCCCTGTCCTGAGCCAAAGTCACCTTTTTATAATTTGTTTTTTGTTTGTGTTTCTGTATTTTAACTTAGAATCCAGAATGGTGGCATTGGGACAGGACTTCAGGAATCATCCAGTTTTCTCACCTGGGCTCACCCAGGGACCTGCTCTCCCCCAGTCCTAAGTGATGGATCTCCTGCAGACCTAGTTCAATAGTGGCCCAGAAGGGGCCGGCTCTGTGAAGAGAGGAGTCAGCAGTGACAAGTTCTGGAAGAGCGCCGTAGGCATGCAAGCAGGGAAGTAGTTTGTGTGCCGGGCATGGCTCTCAGGTTGCGTGTGCACCAAGTGCTATGACAGCTTTGGAGGAGGAGGGCAGAGTTCAACTCACTCCCAGGTTTGGGTCCCAGTTTCCTGCTTTATGTGTGACCCCGGGAACGCCACGTCATCACCCCCTGCCTCAGTTTCCCCATCTGTAAAATGGTAGTGATCTACCCCGGAGAATAGTTGTAGGGAGGAACCATAAACACAATACAGTCTCTAACACTTAGTAGGTGCTCCAAAAAAAAAAAGGTCCTAATTGTACATATAGAGTGAGAATTAGGACGCAGGCTGTCAGCGCAGGGTCCCCTGGGGTGAGGTGACGTCTAGGGAGCGCAGGCTCCCAGCACGGGGAGGAGGGGACAGCAGGCAGGGTCTGGGGCTCGTAAGTCCCGGCCGTTGCCCACTAGCCTCCCAGCTTTCTGGACCTTTCAGAATCCCAAGGTGCGCAAGTCCCGTCCTGCCATGGGGGCCTCTGGAAGGGACGAAATCACACAGCCGCTCAGATTTCCACAGGAGGTTTGCTTTTTTTTTTTTTTTTTAAGCGTCCTGTTTTAAATTGCTTTGTTTTCTTTGGGTCATATGACCGCTCCCCCTCCGCCCCCGCTGGCCCGGGGCGGGCGCGGCGCGGGTGTTGCAACGTCTGGCCGAATGTGGGGATCAGCTGCTGACCGCCACCACGTGACCCGCCGCTGGGATAAATGGACGGCGCGGCCGCGCTCGGCACAGTCACTCTCGCACGTCCTTCTGCGCGTCTGGACACGTCGGAGCCCGCACCGGAGCCCGTACCGAGCGCCGGCCGGATGGAGCGCCCGCAGCCCGACAGGCAAGCGCGGGGCGCGGGGCGCGGGGAACCGGTCTCTCCCGGGAGGGCAGCCCCTGCCGTGCCGCCTAGCTGTGGTCTGCAGTCCCTCTCCGAGACAGAGCCGGGAAGCCTCTTCTCTGAGTTCCCTTGGGCTTTGGACTAAGGAGGAGCCCGGTTTCGGTCCCGTCCGGTGGGGGGTGATTAGAGGGATGAAAGGTGATTTACACGTCTGACTCCCTGGCACAGGGCTGGTAACCAGATGGGAGTGTCCCTATGGTATCTTTTTTTTTTTTTTTGGGTTTTTTAATTTAATGTCCTTGGAGGTGCTCTCTGCTTAATCTAGAATCCCTGGGGCTGCCGAGGAGCCTGGGTGACAGTGGCTGGTTCTCTTGCCAGAGCCCCCTGGTGGCCGCATCCTCCTCTTACTAGCGGTCCAGCACCTGAACCAGACACCACTGTGGCTGTCCTGTCCCCATTTTACAGATGAGCACTGCACAATTCAGGGAGGCAAGAAGCCCAAGGCCCCCTGGCTAACAGGTGTCCAAGCTGGGATTTGAACCACAGTCTGTCCACCTCCAAGTCTGGCCCCTTCCCTTCTCCCAAGAGTTTGATGAGTATGTAGAGAACCACGGTGATGTTTCTGGAAGGAGTACGGGAGAGAAAAGAGAAATGACAATTCTGCAGGAGGTGGAGACGGACATGGGGCAGAAATACTCTCAGAAAGGGACTTTTTCTTTGAGTAAAACAGAGTTTTGCAGATTTTTTTTTTTAAGATTTTTTATTTATTTATTTGAGAGAGAGAGAATGAGATAGAGAGCACGAGAGGGAAGAGGGTCAGAGGGAGAAGCAGACTCCCTGCCGAGCAGGGAGCCCGATGCGGGACTCGATCCCGGGACCTCAGGATCATGACCTGAGCCGAAGGCAGTCACTCAACCAACTGAGCCACCCAGGCGCCCGAGTTTTGCAGATTTTTTAACCCAAGTGCTTTTATGATGAGCGTAACATTATAAGGGATTTGAGTGTGAAATGTCAATAGAATAGATGAATTAAATTTGGGTCTAAAGCCAATCAAAGCAATTATGATATGAAATATGAATGTTCTTATAAAATATGAATGTTCATATGAAATATGACCGGTCATACTGCCGGGGCTACTTCTCCCTGGGTGTTGCAAACCTCCCCCCAAACAATAACTGGTACCAGGATTTCCCAATTGGTCATATGACTTGGAGCATGTTGATGGGGCTGCATCCTAAGGTAGTTAGGAACCTTGCCTGTGTATCAGATGGCGGGTTGGACTTATTTCTGCAGAGAAGCCTGATACCACTCAAAGGCCTGCTGATGGGCAGGTGGCATCCTCAGAAACTCAGCGTTGGGAGGAACCTTGCTCGGAGCCATCCGTGTTCACCCTCCCTCCCTCCCTCCCTCCCTCCCTCCCTCCCTCCCTCCCTCCCTTCTGCAGCATGCCCCAGGATTTGTCAGAGGCCCTGAAGGAGGCCACCAAGGAGGTGCACATCCAGGCGGAGAATGCCGAGTTCATGAAGAACTTCCAGAAGGGCCAGGTGACCCAAAAAGGCTTTAAGGTATGTGGCCTGGTGGGACCAGCACCGCTGGAGGGTGTGACGGGTGTGAGTGTGTCCGAGGTGCTCAGGCCAGTGGTTTAAGTGGGGATTGGGACCAGGGATGCTGAGGGACCAGAGGGGCATGTCCAAGGGAATCATGTTGCAGATGACATTTGAGGCTTAAAGAGGGCAGGTGACCTACTCAAGGTCACGTAGCAAGTGCACAGCCTGCCATGTAGTGCCGTGGAGGGGCTAGGGTAGTAGAGCCAGTTCCTGAGCCCCTGTTCTGTGCTGGGCATTTTACGCACTCCATTTCTAATCTGTGCCTCAGCTCTGGGTAAGGAAGATGAGGAAGGGCAGGCTCAGAGAGGTGAAGTAGCTAGCGGGAGGTCACACAGCCAGCAGGTAAATGGGAAAGGCTGCAATCAGACCAAGGCTGGTTTCCCTTCAAAGCTAGTGCTCCTGACCTAATTCTGATGTGCCTCTGAAGGTAAGGGGTGGCATGGGTTCGAGGCCGAGCACAACCACTGGCTCACAGGAAGATTGTGGGCATCTCCTCTGTGAAGTGGGATTTCAACAGCAGGGTCTTCCTAAGCACCCGCTCTCTGCTGGGCACGGATTTTGCTGTTTCCCAGCATGGCTGAGGAATTCATGCAAATAGAAGGCGAGCGCTCGAAGAATCGGGCAGGTGTCAGGTGTTCAGACATCAGTGCGAGGAGAGGCTTGTTCAGGTTGAACAGAAGGTGCTGGGGTGGGGAGCTCTATCCCCTGACTCCTGACACCCCTCCCTCCCTTTTGCGGCCTGCACCCTCCCCCCACTTCCAGCCGGAGAGATGCTTCGGTGACACGTGTCATACGGTTCCAGGGGTTCAGGCCCTTGGCTGCCACGTCTAGTCTTGGCTTCCTCCCCCCGTCGTCCCCCCCCCCCCAAGAAGATGGCATATACCCAGTTGTTGGACTGTGGCTGCGGGCAGCAGGATCCAGGGAGGTGACTGCCGGAGTATCCCATCCCCAGACACTGGGACTTTGGATATTGCCTCTAAGCCACTGAGTCCAAAGTGGGCACGAAGATCCGGGAGAGAACCCCGTGCTCACGTAGAGGATGCTGAAGGAGGGGGGCATTTATCACCACAGCTTCGGAACTGAGGGCCAAGTGCCAGCCTCTGTCTAGTACTTGACCTGTGTCACCCTCCTTGACTCTCAAGTCAGCCCCCTTTAGGACATCGTTGTCCCCTTTGGCAGGGGAGGGGACCAGGGCTTGACGGGACAGTCGCTCGGACCTTCCATGACCCAGAGAGGGCAGGTGGCTTACCCAGGGTCACACAGCCCAGGGAGCTGAGGTTAGAACCAGGTTGGCACACTCGATAACCCAGGCTGTTTTGTATCCAGCTGCCTGGCTTTCTGCCCCATTGAGAAGGTTCATGGCTCAGAAATAAGTCGGAGACCTCAACCAGTGGTCCTCCTTCAAACTCAGACTAGAGTATTAATGTGTAACGGGAGATTCCCAAGCCAAGGTGTGCTGAGCCGGTCCCCCCAGCCCAGCCTCTGGAGGTGGTGGGGTTCAGAGTGGGTCTCAGGGAAGGAGAATCGGAGGTCAAAGTCCAGAGGGGCTGGGAGGCTCCCCGGAAGGCTTTCATTCAGGTCCTCCCTTGCTCCAGAGCTGTGCTGGCTCCTAGCAACGCCTCGGCCTGACTCCAGTTTTCATTTCTTGCTCCTGTGAGGTCTCACCGTCTCCTACGTTCTCCAAGCCTAGTTTCCTTTTCCGTAAAGCGGGGATAGCAACTCCTCTGTTGGGGTTTTATAAGGAATAAGTTAGGCTGCGCGTTCATCCAGTGGAGTGAAAGGGTTTTCAGTTCCACTGGAGCGGGGGGGGGGGGCGGCAGCAGGCGGGAACCCAGCCTGGGGAGTCCCCGAGGGTCTCGCTAAGGCAGCCGCGAAGGGGCTGGGTGGGGTTCTTGCACGAGGCCAGCAGCCTGACCTACTCGTTTGACCATTTCAGCTGGTGATGGCCTCTCTTTACCACATCTACGTGGCCCTGGAGGAGGAGATCGAGCGCAACCGGGACAACCCGGTCTACGCCCCCCTTTACTTCCCAGAAGAGCTGCACCGCAAGGCTGCCCTGGAGCGGGACATGGCCTTCTGGTACGGAGCGCACTGGCAGGAGGCCATCCCCTACACACAGGCCACACGGCGCTACGTGCGGAGGCTCCAGGACGTGGGGCGCAGGCAGCCGGAGCTGCTGGTAGCCCATGCCTACACCCGCTACCTCGGCGACCTGTCGGGGGGCCAGGTCCTCAAGAAGATCGCTCAGAAGGCCCTGGCCCTGCCCAGCTCCGGGGAGGGCGTGGACTTCTTCACCTTCCCCAACATCGCCAGCCCCACGAAGTTCAAGCAACTCTACCGCTCCCGCATGAACTCTCTGGAGATGACCCCCGAGGTCAGGCAGCGAGTCCTCGAGGAGGCCCAGACTGCGTTCCTGCTCAACATTCAGGTGAGGGTCTGGCAGCCCAGGGCGGCCGCCGTCCCCCCCGCCCCCGCACCCTCCCTGCACCCCTGCACCCCACACACCCTCCCCCTGCCACTCTGGGGATGGTTCTGTGCAGCGGAAGGGGCTGTGGGTTGTGGTGAAGCCAGGCTTTCAGTTCTGCCACTGACTAGCTGGCTGCTCTCGTCTCAGTTGCCCCATCTGTAAAATGGGGCTATAACAGCCCCCGCCTCTTAGAGTTGTTGGGAGGCTCAAGTGAGTTCGTACCCAGCGAGGCCCGATGGCAAGAGCTGCCACAGGGCCGGCCCTGTCGTGTCAGCTGTGTTCCTTTGGGGATGTGACAGGCGCCGCTGTAGCCCTCTGCGACAGCACTCCGCTACAACATTGCCATCGTGTGTGTGTGTGGCCAGGTTGGCACGGGGGGGGGAGGCTCCCAGGCGGTGCAGGCATGGCCAGGACACGGGACAAGGGCATGAACAGGATGCCCTCATGACAGGATGCTGGTTGCCTGCGAGCACGAGGGGAGGAGCAAGCAGGTGATGCAGATGCACCTGTCACGTTTTCTCTCAAAAGCTGGGTGACGGGAATGGGACTGCTCAATATTTTTCTTAACGATTTTGTGAAGTCCTCAAGATTTCCTAGCACAACTTAACATACCACCTTCGGCCGGGGCCTAGTGCCATCTCTCACCGGGGCGGGCTCGCGTGTCTTCTGTCTTGTAGCTGTTTGAGGAGCTGCAGGAGCTGCTGAGCCAGGACCCCGAGGACCAGAGCCCCTCGCAGGCCCCGGGGCTGCGCCGGCGTGTTGACAGTGGGGTGCAAGGTGAGGCCTCCCCGCCGGGATGAGCT